TTCCCAGTAAATAAAAAATTGCATTGGTACGTGAAGATTAAAGAATTATCATTCAATGATTTTTTACCCTAATTTCCAAAGAATCTGCTCCAAGAAGATCGGAGAAATAACAGAACAACGATTGGATAAGAGCGTTAAGTAGAATATCCCGCAGTGGTCAGACACAAGGCAGAAGCTTCCTATTTGAAAAGCAACCCGCTTCTCCCTTTTTATTTCATCCATGCTCGACACAGAATAAGTCAGGGCTTCGGTGAATTTTGCATTAGAAATTTGCATTCCGGTCCCAAGCGCGTAACCTACTTACCGCAAAAGGCCGCGGCCTTCCTTAAACCGACCATTCCCAGGATTGTCTTTACGGGCCAACTTCGCTCAATTACCAAGACCTAAAGCCAACGTTTCAACCGCTCGTACCACGTGCTCGTCGCGCGGAGATTTTATTTTCATTCTGTTTACTCGAGTGCACGCGTTATTAACACACAGAATTCCGGTCTAAGTGAGAATTTTCCACCGTTTCACCGAGCCTTTCTGTTTTAAACAAAAGAGACCATTTCATTCGAGGGAAGTTTTTTGAAAATCTGAAATTCACTTCTTATTTTGACATTTGGAGAAAAAGATACATTCAGAATTTCTAATCTACTTTCGAATAAAAACTCCATTGAACTGATATCGGATTGCATAAATAATTCACAGAAATTTGCATTAAACAACATTAACTAATTTAAGAAAAACAGATGTCCTTAGAATCTCAAATCAATTTTCGAATTAGAATTCCATAAAATTAAATTTCCAATCGCATCCATCAAAAATTTCAAATTTACCAAAAAGTCGACAAACAATTCACAGAGATTTGCATTAAACAGTATTAACTAATTTAAGAAAAAAAAAAGATACTCAGAATTTCAAATTTACTTTCCAGTTAAAGTTCCACAAAATTTAACTTTGAATGGCACTCACCGAAATTCCAAATTGACCAAAAAAATTCGACAAATAATTCACCGAAATTTTACATAAAAGCTCGCAATATATCAGACACAGAAACATCCTGCATTCCTTCAATCTTTTTACTCGTTTCCCGTCGACCGTGACTATCTCCATTCGATTCGAACAGAATCTATCGCGGACACGCTGCGATTTATGGTTGTTGCGTGAACACGCATGAAAATATCACGCACCAGATACCGATTTTTCGTTTTCAGCTGACCTAGAAGCACTCGTGGAATGAAGGGCGGCCAGTGAATAAGGAAAATAGCGATTCATCGTCATCCTGCTAGAAGATTCTGCCAACAGCATTGCTTTTTCTCGAAGACACGGGAAACGCGGCCCACAGCGTTTCTCCAAGGGCGAAAGTTTAATTAACAGACTCCGATGCTTTTGTTTCGACTTTACTTTCAGCTTCGTCTTTTCAACGGTTAAGCAGTCTGGGGATTTAAACCAAGTGGCGGCCTTTCGAGACGACGGGAATATTTGCATGTGATTATAATTAACAAGTGAAACAACAATCGTTTCATGCCACGATTAATACTACAAACGATACAGTAAATAATTTATACACTGCTGGTTGTTGACTTCATTTCATCCCAAATTTTCGAAAAGGAAGAATCTCCTTTTTCATGTGAAAAAATTTCTGATCTTTGGTTACGCAGAATTTCTCAAATCTAAATCTGTTAAAATGACGAATTTCAGAATTCTTACTTTATAGGAATTATTTAAGAATACGGTGACTTTTGTTGGAATAAAGAAATAATTGCACATGCCACATTATTTTCCATTAATTTTATGCTAAATTTCCTGATCAAATTTTCGAAAAGAAAGAATCTCCTTAACGTGACAAAATTTGTGACTTTCGGTCAGGTAAAATTTTTGAAGGAATCAGTTTAACACTAGAGAAACTAAATCTGTTTGTGTAAAATGAGAAATTTCAGATTTCTTACTTTAAATTGTAGGAACTATCAAGACACTTTTGTTTAAGTATCTATACATGGCGACTTTTGTTCAAATGAAGAAGTAATTATTTATGCAAATTTATTTTTCGCCGATCCTTCCAATTTCCAAGTTATTTATGTAGTATACCTAAATACACCAGAATGGAAAAAATATACTACATTCAACTCTTGTTTTAATATAAAAACCACTTTATTGGATAAACAAGTAGTAAAATGTTCGACTGAAGAGAACACATAAAACCCGATTTTGATGAAATTGACACGGCAGGTAGTTTATGGATAAATATTTGACACGTCTGTTTTTTTTTTTTATCGTTTATCGTCCATATCGAAGGGTTGAAAACATATTTTTTGGAATATCTCGGGAACTAGAGGGTGTAAAAACGGGGAATTCAATCACGTTAAGAATTTTTCTTTTTAAATTCATTTAAATTCGTGTATTAATATAAATATGAATTTTTTTGGTCATTTTTCTCGCTACATTGTAATCAATTTTTATGCAAATTTGTGAGTGAATTATGGGACACAATAAGGGATAACTTTTTGCAACGTTTTTAGCAATTTTATTATGTCGTACGAAAATATTGGAATTATAATATATTTCTTATAACAGCATTTTCTTTTTTATTAAATATTGAAACGAGAATAACGATACATTCCTTAACCACTTAGGTGCTTTCGACAAGTCTGACTTATCCTGTATTTCTTCCGTCAAACTGTGTATAATCTATTTAACAAATTAGAATCGTCTAAAACAGCACATCGTTCGTTTCACGAAAATAAACGAATGATAAATCGAGAAGTATTGCTCGATTTATGACCACCGATTATCAATAAACGTGAAATCATCGCAGAATATTTCTTCAGAATAAATCACCCTATTTGCACACTTTCATACGGGAACGAAATGCTCCAACTTTAAATGTACCACTACATTCACACAGAAAATCAATTTTCAAGGAGAACAATCTTCGTCACGTGACTTAACCCTTTATTTCCAACGAAAAAAATTCAACACGACTTCGTGAAACTGTACAACGTTCAAGCATAAACTGTCTTTTTATACGAAGCACTTCTTCGTAGAAAATCCGAAATTCCTTACGTTTAAGTCCCTCGCCAGTCAATATTCACCCTAGACGAACGCTTCAAGTATTCACCAACGTAGCATAAAACAAAAAAGGTCTTCTTAGTACACGAGGTGAAACCGTTCCATCGACTAAGGAACCAAGGAAGCTTCGCCATAAGATGAGAAGAGGGAGAGAGAAAAAAAGGAAGAGAAAGGAAGGTTGAAAGAGAAGTGCAATTTCTGAAAGGTCCGCTTTAATCAGTTCGATTCCAGGCCAGGCAGGCAACATTGGCCCACTTTGCCGAGTAATAACGTAGCTACATCGAGGCAATAAATGTGCTCGTACCTCGCGCGAAGCTGCTCCAGCTTGGCTCGAAAACCACCGCTAAGAGAGAGCGAGCAAGAGCTTCTTCGTCAGCACGCACCGATGAACGCGAGCTTTCGCCGTGACACCTTCCCGGAAAGTACTGAAGTAGCTGTTTATTCCACGCTTTCCAAACCTCCTCTAGCGACCTGTCTCTTGGTTTCCGTGAAATTTCCCCTCTTTCATGCCGAGCTCACCTTTGACGACGTGCAAGCGTGCAAGCTTTTCTCTCTTTCTCTTCTCTCTCTCTTGAGAGAGGTTTTTTTTTTTATTAGATCATCCGGTGGATTTGTTTTGAATAAGCAGATTTATAATTCTAGGAAATTGAAGCCGCGGAAGTAATTTTAGTGTGAAATTTAGGGGTGTTGAGTTGAATTTCTTAAATGACAAGAGATATTATTTCTTACAGTCGTAATTATTAGGTCACCCAGTGGATTTGTTTTAAGTAAGCAGTTTCAGGGTTCCAGGAGCTTGGAATCATGGAAGTAATTTTAGTGTGCAATTAAGGGGTGTTGAGTTGACTTCTTTAAATGACAAGAGATATTGTTTCCTACAGTCGTAAGTATTAGGTCACCCGGTGGATTTATTTTGAATAAGCATATTAGAATTCTAGGAAATTGAAGCCGCGGAAGTAATTTTAGTGTGAAATTTAGGGGTGCTGAGTTGAATTTTTTAAATGACGAGGGATATTGTTATTTTAATTGTAATTTTAAAAGTTCCTTAGTTTTTAGTTCAAGTAATTTTCAGACGATTATTAATAAATCATTCCTAGAACATTTCAACAACGCTTTTCATTCGTGTCCATTTGGCAAAATCGGGAAACGATGAAATTTTAATTAACTGCTCAAAATTTTAGATCAAATTAAATTCCCAATCCAACATAGACAAAATATCTGTTACAATTTATTTATACGAAACGTAACCAACAAGAAGATTAAACTAATTAGTAGCCAGAAATATTAAAGTCAGTAACATATTTCAATTCACACTCTTTGCAACAGGCCAAAATTGAAAATTCAACAATCCAGAAAAAACCTAATTGGTTAATTTAAAAATTGTTAATTTATAAGATGGAATCTTTGTACTTTCAACATAGGTAACAATGAATAAATTCTTCATCCATAAAATATTCAATTAAT